TTATTGTTTCAATCATTGACTTACTCACCATATTGAGATTTTATTTCAGAAACAAGAGAATTCATGAAGTGTTCGGTTGACCAAGCCGTTCGATATATGAGGAGAATAGTGCAGATTTCGCCAACCTGCAGTTGATTACGTAACTACACGTGGCACTTCAATTAGTTCTGGTATTATTAAAAACCTCATTTATTCTTCAGGTTTCATTAACTTTTTTTTAATATTTTTCTCATAAGGTACCCAAATACCGTCAGTGGAAAAAAATTTTATTATACATTAAAACATAATATAAATACAGAAAAAAAATAAAGAAAGAGGGAAAACTGGCCAAAATTGACAAAAAATATTTATTTTTTCTTTTTCAAAATCACATAACTTTGTTAAAATGATTTATTTTTTCATTAATCTTGTTTTATAATTCTCATATAAATTCAACTTAGGGAATGGAATACGCATTAGACATAATATTAATATATTTTATGGCAAATATAAAAACTTATTCAACAAAAAGTGGTCGAAAACTGCGATTAATTATTTTTATTGTAACTGTAAAATAAAAACTAGTAGTTAAATTCACTAGTTCATAGTCTATTCTCTAGACATACATTTTGAAAACATTCTTGCAAAATTTCAAGAATATAAACTAAAATATATTTAAATATTGCATTTTGAATGAAGGAAAATAACCGAAGGAAAATATGCAAATTAAAAAAGATAAATTCTATTCCCAATTTTATAATTGCGGATGGTTTTTTAAGTCATCAATAACTTCTGCTTTATTTGACGTAGAAACAAAATTTGAAAGGTTTTAGAGTGGGAAAGGTCTACACTTTTATATATAAAAAAGAGAAAAAATATATTTGGGTCAAAATTGTCTTTAAAAAGGTAGTCGGGTACTTAAAAAAATATCTTTCCTAGTGTTAACAGAGGAAGTGTATCAACATTTTAATAAATTGGAATAAAAAGAATTTTGTTCTTCGCAAATCCATATTAGAGATGCCAACTTGCTCCGGACAGCAAATATATATTTTAAAGTGGTAGCTAATAAATTGTGATTCCTGGTTTAATAAATTCAATTTAGTAGATTTTTATCCACCACTATTTCCAAATAATTCATGGGCTTATATGATTCACCACTTTAAATTAGTTTTGTCATGCTGTACATTTTAAAAAGCAAATCACGTTGTTCCATATCATTTTCAATCTGAAAAATTTCGGACACACATAGTCATGAATTGCTGATCGGATTTTCGGTTAAGTCTGCCAAGTCCTGGTGCTGCTCGGAGAATTTTGACTCGTCATCAACCTCAGCCTTCATGTCAGTCTTCAGTTGGAGCATTCATAGCACGTGAGTAGCTTTGTTCTTATTTGTTAGCCAAGGTTCTTGATTATCATCTGATATTCCTTTGACATTATCTATGATTTCCGCATCTGTCAATGTTCCACATGTTGCCAGGCAGTTGTCCACTTGTAAAAATCTTCAAAATTAAAGTCTACATTGAATCCAGATTTTATTGCATTCCATTCTGGCAAATCTGGCACTACATTTTCAGCTTTAACATTTTCTTCTTTTTTACCGATGCCTTCAACCTCTTATTCATCATCTTCACAGCTAGTCTTAAAACCAGCTTTTTAAAACTATTTTGGATAGTTTCTAGAGACACATTTCTCCAGGCAAAACAGTAATTCTGATAGCGTCTAACTTTTTTCGTCGATTGCATCTACAAGTTTGCGTACCAACTGTTGTCGATAGTTCACTTTAAAATTCTTTATTATCTTTGATGCATTGTCAGCAATTTTGAGATCGAAATGAATTTCTATTCTTAGCTTTCTTATCTATGTTGAAAATCTAACCTCGGGTGGTCACTACTCCTTAACCCCTTACTTACTGCTAGAATCATTGCATTCCTTTCTAGTTAAGGAAATGCAGGGATAGTGATTGAAGTTCCAAGAAACACCTCCGACCTGTTCATCCCCACTTCCTGTGGATTCACGAAATTTATCCCTGTCTACGTGTTCTACTTATAACGAAAGTTTTGACATTTGTGCTGTATTATTAGAAATTCAAGAAACGGAGGTTTTGAAGAAAAAAATTTCGGCATAAACATGGAAAATGCATTGATTTTAGACAGTAAATGTAGGGAATTTTGGAAATTTCGAGATAAAGAGTTTCGAGATATTACTTAACAATTAGAGCTACACTATGTTACCCTTTCTTAGTTATTTGTGAAATGTTATTTTAAAGTGAGCCTAATTTCGAAAATGTTCACCACTTATAAAACAGAAAAACATTCTCTAATAATTTTAATATTTAGCGTGTTTAATAGTTTCTGGATACCGGAATTGTTTTAATATTGGATTTTGTTAAATTCAAATTCCATTGCCAACTCCATTAGAAAAGACCAATTTTACAAGATTAAAAAATGATTGGCATGAAGTCTCAGTTATTTTATCGAAAACGTTTAAGTTATTTTAGAATTTAAATGTTGAATTTTACGTAATGTGCAATATTGCTCGAAATGCTTGGTTCAGGATGCATTGATGAAATTGTTTAAATATTTTTGGTAAATTTTGATAAAAATTATGAAATAATTTTAATATATTTTAATTTTTTATACTTTTTCTGTTCATCTTTATTTATGTATAAAAAGATACTGTTCTTACTTTTTCACCTAAAGTAACACTGTTAGAATTAAATCTAAATTAGCGGTAAAAGAAACAACAAGTGTATGTCCATCCAATTAACTGCAAATTTTACAGAAATTTTTTTTAACCTTTTCTGGGTTTGGAACCGTTTACAACCAGTATGTTTAAAACACCATGAATACAAAACAAGGTTTTATCAACCATTCAAAATTAGAATGGTTTCGATACTGTAAAAAATTTAATGGACATTGGAGCAACGCATTTAGTTAAGGCGTAATGGAGTTAAGTTGAGGTTGAATTGTGCTTCATTAAATGAACCATTAAATAGGATTTAATTATTTTATCTGATTGTTTCCTCTATTGAAAGAATATTTAAAATTCTAAACGTTTCAGTGTTAAGCTGCTTTATAGGGTTGTCATCAACGCGTAAAGGATATTATCATACTCTGATAGTCCAGGGTCATAAGTTGGGGAAGGCAGGACATTGAAACTCTTCGTGTGTTAAAAGGGTTGGAGGAAGTATTGTGATATCAATACTGGGAGTCGAACCCCTGTTCTGTCGGTCATGAGAATAGCAAATTTGCCTTCTCGGATATAATATGTACCCAGCTGCGAGCATTAAGTGTCTTTATTAGGTGGTCCTTGTAGGTACGATAAAATTCTTTTTGTTCAACCGAATTAGGTGAAATTAATTAATAAACGGTTTTCTCACAGTTAAAAGTTTTTATACAATCTTATTTATGGTTATTTGACTTTTTTAATGGTTTAGTTACGGTTATTTGACTATTTTGTTTATTATGGTCAAACAACAAGTAAATGAATTGATATTTCACTAATTGTTTAGATACATTTCTAAGAATTGAATTAAAATTTCGTCTTTAAATTCCTCATTAATGCTTTTTGTCACGAAGGTCTGTTTCAGCGAGACCTACACATTCATTCGTATTTCACTTAAAAATTAAATAATGTATCCATTAATCATAAATTTCGTTCAAAAATCCCTTATTTTGCCCCAAACAATTCAATTTATGTATCGTAATTTTAATTGCATGATTCTCAAAATTTTTTAATTATTTTGATAAATCAGATTCATTAATTTTCATAAATCCATTATATATTTATATCGTTTCTTTTGTTAGTAATAAAGTTAATTTAAACGACAAATTCTATGAAACAAATTCCGTTAAATTTATTTTTCGTTTTCGTTCAGAAAAGATGCAAATCTTAATATCGAATTAACGATTAACGTTTATGTATTTCCTTAGCTTGTTACTGTGGCAAGCAAAGCTACAGTTGTACTTTCAAAGAGAACGGACAAAAGTACTGTGAATGCTACGAAGGATACATTCAAAAGAATGAAACCTGTGAAGGTAATTACCAACTTTAGTTTTTATAATTAAGATTTTTTTAAATTCTTATTTACAATTTTTGCTTTGCTCTCTTATAGATATCTAAATAAGCAAGGTGTCGTTTTTTTGTGTCGTCATAAGTATCTAGATAGAAAAAAAAATCAACATATTTCGAGCATTTGAAACAAAATATCAAATTCTGTATAATGAATTGCATCTTTTATGAATGGGAAATCTTCTTTCTTATTTTCTCTGACATTTATAAGCTTTATTTCGACGAAGCATTCGTTAAACTGGTAAAGTTCTGATGGTTTGAAACGTATGTTGTTGACAATACATTTTGTTTCAGTAGACAGTATTACTCATTTTAAGGGCTACTCACGATTGTTGGCTTGTTTGACCATTGCATTAAATTTTTTTAGATAAGAATAATAACTTTGTCCAACATATTTGTGCTATTTTTAAAAATTTTCCATTTTCGTTTATCTTTTACACTTTGCTGTTTAGTGATTTCCTTCTGTCATTTCCTATTATCCCAATTGTCTTTTCATACTATAGTAACTGGTACGACTGATCTGGATTTATTAAAGAAATTCTAAAATAAACTTAACAACTTTTATTGCTCGATAGGTAAACACAATATGAACAAACGATCATAAGCCTATCTACCTTGCTCGTTCAAATTCAAAACAAGACTAACTCCTTTAACCCTTTGGGGACGGGTGATTCAGAAAAGCATTCGTACAAAATCAGGATCAGGACGTAATTAAATAAAAAACGGTAACTTAAATGTAGTCGTTGCTAATTTGACAGACTTACTTTGCTTTTACTTTAATTATTGTTAGCTTAATCATATAGATAATCAATGTCAATTCAAAGTATAACTAAATAGTTTTATTTTTAACAAAGTAATGGTGAATTAAATAAATCAAACAATTATAACTCCGCCTACAAATAAACTGCTAAAGAAATACTTTGATTTTCCAGTTTTATCTTTTTACTCTGGTTGATACGGTTTTATGCGGGCACGTATTTGTGACAGTCGGCGCGAAAGGGTTAAGGAAAGAGGCAACGCTCTAAAGTCATGTGATGACAGCGCCATCTCTTAATTAACGCAAATAGTCGACAAAATGATAAATTCTGATAATACACCGTTCCCCCAAGTTATAAAATCCAAACACAAAACTGATACTGAAGATTGAAATTTAGCATAATAAAACACAAAATTGCTCAATAATAAGGAAATAAACACATAAAACACTTAACTTCATAAAAACACTATGCATTACCCTAAATCATATTTGTTGGAATAACTTAAAGCTTAACAAATACTTTAAATTCAATCACTTGATCTAAACTATTAAAATTAGCCAAAACAAATAAAAAATACCAAAAAATTGAAATTTAAAATTTTTATTCACCAAAATTATTAAAATTATCCATAAAAATAGTCATGCTTATACCGAGAAAATAATATAATATACAAATAATGCTTTAAATATTCAGAAATATTTTCATCAAACAATCCAAATCTCAAATAATCAACATCAAATATAAAATAAACAATCATTAATTTCTTTATGAGATATTTAACTCGATAGTAAATAAAAAGTATATTATGTACCATAAATTACCATTCAACTATTTTCAAAATATTTAGTTTAATTTACACTCAATTCGCTGAAATAACATGATAAAAATTCTTAAAACGAAAATTATTATTATGAGAAATTTAAAGTTGAAAAAAAGATAGTTAAAAGTTTTCTTGGAATCAAATTAATAATCTCATAAAATATTTAATTACCCATAATTAAACATTTCTTAAATATTCTGTCAATAGTTAATGAATATAAATATTTACATTCAGACGAAAAGAATTACTTTAATTACAGGGCTTCTTCCATTCTTTATTTTGGATACAGTCGAATTTTGTATTCTTACTCATTAGTGGCACATAAGAAACGCAATTTTTTTTCTTTGGTCGGTATTCAGAAGATCAAGTTTTTCTTCTTCGTTAATTTTTATCTTCTCTGTTGGCACTTCATAGTCTTTCTCGATAAATGTTACCATCTCTCATTGTCAATCTTAACTCATCTCCTTTTTGAAATATTACTCTAATTGCGTTAGTCTCATAATATCGTCTCACCTTGTTTACATGAACACGTTTACTTGGCCGTCTGGTAGGTTGACCATATAAGAATGTGGCGGTTAGTGTTTGATGCCTTCTCCAGGTCCAGTTCATCGAGCATATAATTCATTGCTGTCGTCGGGGATAAGCAAGTATACTTGATTTCCAGGCTTGAAACTTTTGCACGCTGTTCTCCGGTTATGGTAATCTGTATAGGCTTGTTATTTTCCCTTTAATATCAGCTTTGCTTGTTCAAGCTTTATTTTAAATTCTTGGAGATAATTAGCCATGGATTGACTCATATTTAAAGGGATAGGATTGTCTCCGAAACCAGTTAGATTTCAATGCACAAAGTGGTCCTCTCGCTTCCCTACCATTCGTAAGCTTGGAAATTGATACACCAGTAGTGCAACTTGGTAACTTCTCTGTAAGCGAATAATATGAATGGTAAATATTTATCCCAATCGCAAGGATCTAAATGAATAACGCGATGTAGAGCATTCTTTAGTACTTTGTTATAATGTTCTACTAAGCCATTGTTTGCAACGTACCCCGAAACTTATAATCTGGATGACAATCCAAGGCAATTATGAATCGCAGAATGTAAAGTAATTAGGAAGTATATTTTTGAGTTTGGAATAAAATTTTCAGTTAAAATATATAAAAATTTGGATTGTAAAGGGGCTGATGATAACGGTTGAGAAGCATAAAAATAGAACGTTTCTTGATAACAGGTAAAAGGTGAGGTTGATTTATATTATTATTATTTCTATAATATTAACTTCATATTTTATTTATTTTAATGATGTATGTAATAACAAAATGTGTCATTTATTTCATTTTAAAGAGGGCGATGATTAAATAAATTGAGTATCGAGCAATATTTCAACACAGCGTCGTTAAATATCAAGTGAGAGTAACCAGAATTTGGCTTGAAATTATTTTTATTTCTATTCATAAAACAAATTTAAGTAAGAGTTGTCTTAAAAATTTGTTCAGTTTTCATTCATGAACTAGTAATTTTTATCTTTATTTTTCATTCGGAATTTTTATTATTGTTCTACTCAGTCATGTCAAAAGTGGTATTTAATAATAGTGTATGATAATAGCGAAAATCTTAACATTTTCTTTTTATTTTACAGAAAAACAAAGCTTACTGTTATTCATACTATTGTGCATAACATCAGGCGTCCTTCTTGTATCAACATTAACTTTAATCATTGCTAGCAGAAAGTAAGTTATAGTATGAACATGGAAAGAACTCCCCTCTCCATTTGTCAGGAGCTGAGACAATGACTACTGCTACGGGGTTTATCTATTTCAAGTAAAGTGTTGGATCAATATCTAAGACAGATTTTGGTTCTGTCGGCGAGATAAAAAAAAATCAAGGGAGAGAAAAGCTTCCTTCGTTTAAATTTGCTATTTTTGGTTCTCATAGCAGCAGATGGTCTTAGACTTTGTGGTTGGGGGAGTTCTTCCCATAGATAGACGCATTTAAGTCTTATTTTTAGAATTTTTATCAAAAATGAAAACAAAAAAGTATTCATAAGGGGAGGGTAGTTAATTCATATTAAAGCATAGAAAAAAACAAAAATTCTACCGAAATAAATTTGTACTCAGAAAAATTTGGATGTAATTAGCCTCAAACAATTTTGNGCTCTATTATTGAAAATTCGAGAAGCCGAGGTTTTGAAGAAAAAAAATTCGTCATAAGCATGGAAAATGCATTGATTTTAGACAGTAAATGTAGGGAATTTTGGAAAATTTCGAGATAAAGAGTTTCGAGATATTACATAACAGTTAGAGCTACACTATGTTACCTTTTCTCAGTGATTTGTGAAATGTTATTTTAAAGTGAGCCTAAATTTCGAAAATGTTCACCACTTATAAAACAGAAAAACATTCTCTAATAATTTTAATATTTAGCGTGTTTAATAGTTTCTGGATACCGGAATTGTTTTAATATTGGATTTTGTTAAATTCAAATTCCATTGCCAACTCCATTAGAAAAGACCAATTTTACAAGATTAAAAAATGATTGGCATGAAGTCTCAGTTATTTTATCGAAAACGTTTAAGTTATTTTAGAATTTAAATGTTGAATTTTACGTAATGTGCAATATTGCTCGAAATGCTTGGTTCAGGATGCATTGATGAAATTGTTTAAATATTTTTGGTAAATTTTGATAAAAATTATGAAATAATTTTAATATATTTTAATTTTTTATACTTTTTCTGTTCATCTTTATTTATGTATAAAAAGATACTGTTCTTACTTTTTCACCTAAAGTAACACTGTTAGAATTAAATCTAAATTAGCGGTAAAAGAAACAACAAGTGTATGTCCATCCAATTAACTGCAAATTTTACAGAAATTTTTTTTAACCTTTTCTGGGTTTGGAACCGTTTACAACCAGTATGTTTAAAACACCATGAATACAAAACAAGGTTTTATCAACCATTCAAAATTAGAATGGTTTCGATACTGTAAAAAATTTAATGGACATTGGAGCAACGCATTTAGTTAAGGCGTAATGGAGTTAAGTTGAGGTTGAATTGTGCTTCATTAAATGAACCATTAAATAGGATTTAATTATTTTATCTGATTGTTTCCTCTATTGAAAGAATATTTAAAATTCTAAACGTTTCAGTGTTAAGCTGCTTTATAGGGTTGTCATCAACGCGTAAAGGATATTATCATACTCTGATAGTCCAGGGTCATAAGTTGGGGAAGGCAGGACATTGAAACTCTTCGTGTGTTAAAAGGGTTGGAGGAAGTATTGTGATATCAATACTGGGAGTCGAACCCCTGTTCTGTCGGTCATGAGAATAGCAAATTTGCCTTCTCGGATATAATATGTACCCAGCTGCGAGCATTAAGTGTCTTTATTAGGTGGTCCTTGTAGGTACGATAAGATTCTTTTTGTTCAACCGAATTAGATGAAATTAATTAATAAACGGTTTTCTCACAGTTAAAAGTTTTTATACAATCTTATTCATGGTTATTTGACTTTTTTTAATGGTTTAGTTACGGTTATTTGACTATTTTGTTTATTATGGTCAAACAACAAGTAAATGAATTGATATTTCACCAATTTTTTAGGTACATTTCTAAGAATGTAATTAAAATTTCGTCTTTAAATTCCTCATTAATGCTTTTTGTCACGAAGGTCTGTTTCAGCGAGACCTACACATTCATTTGTATTTCATTTAAAAATTAAATAATGTATCCATTAATCATAAATTTCGTTTAAAAATGCCTTATTTTGTCCCAAACATTTCAATTTATGTATCGTAATTTTGATTGCAAGATTCTCAAAAATTTGAAATTATTTTGATAAATCAGATTCATTAATTTTCATAAATCCATTATATATTTATATCGTTTCCTTTGTTAGTTACAAAGTTAATTTAAGCGACAAAATTGTATGAAACAAATTCCGCTAAATTTATTTTAAGTTTTTGTTCAGAAAAGATGCAAAATATCGAATTAACGAATAACGTTTATGTATTTCTTTAGCTTGTTACTGTGGCAAGCAAAGTTATAGTTGTACTCTCAAAGAGAATGGACAAAAATACTGTGAATGCTACGAAGGATACATTCAAAAGAATGAAACCTGTGAAGGTAATTAACAACTTTAGTTTTTATAATTAAGATTTTTTTAATCCTTATTTACAATTTTTACTTTGCTATCTTGTAGGTAAGCTGATCTAGGTTGTAGATATCTAGGTGTCGCTCTTTTGTGTCGTCATAAGTACTCAGATAGAAAAAAATTAACATATTTTGAGCATTTAAAACAAAATAACAAATTCTACATAATGTATTGAGTCTTTTATGAATGGGAAATATTCTCTCCTACTTTCTCTGACATTTCTAAGCTTTATTTCGAAGCAACATTCTTTAAACTGTTGAAGTTCTCATGGTTTGAAACATATGTTGTTGACGACGCATTTGTTTCAGTAGACAGTTATACTCATTTTAAGGGTTACTCACGATTGTTGACTTGTTTGACCAACGCATTAAATTTTTTTAGATAAGAATAATAACTTTATCCAACATATTTGAGTTATTTTTAAAAAATTTCCATTTTCGTTTATCTTTTACATTTTACTGTTTTGTTATTTCCTTCTGTCATTTCCATGGATTTATTAAAGAAACTCCAAAATAAACATATTTTGGAGTTTGAATTCAACATTTATTTCTCGATAGGAAAACACATTATGAACAAACTATCTTAAGCCGGACAACCTTGCTCGCTCAAATTCGGAACAAGACTAACACCTTTAAGGAACAATGCAACGCCCAAAAGTCTTGTGATGACAGCGCCATCTCTTAATTAACACAAATAGTTGTCCCCTAAGTTATGGGTTTGGATTTTAAATAATACTGATACTGAAGATTGGAAATTAGCACAGTAAAACAAAAAATCGCTCAATAATAAGGATATAAACACATATAACACTTACTGCATAAAAACACTATGTACAAATTATTAAAATTATCCATAAAAATAGTCATGCTTATACCAAGAAAATAATATAATATACAAATCAAATAATGATTTAAATATTTAAAAATATTTTTCTCAAAAAATCTAAATCTGAAATAATCAACATCAAATATCAAATAAACAATCACTAATTTTTTTATGAGGTAATCAACTCGATAGTAAATAAGAAGTATATTATGTACCATAAATTACCATTAAATTATTTTCAAAACATTTAGTTTAATTTACTCTCAATTCACTGACATAACATAATAAAAATTCTTAAAACAAAATTTATAATTATTGAAAATTCAAAGTTGAAAAAAAAAAGTTAAAGTTTTCTTGGGATCAAATTAAATAATTTCATAAAATATTTAATTACCTATAATTAAACATTTAAACATTTCTTAAATATTCTGTCAATAGTTAATGAATTTACATTCAAACATATAAACAAAAATAATTACTTTAATTACAGGGCTTCTTCCGTTCTTTATTTGGATACAGTCGAATTTTGTGTTCTTACTCATTAGCTTTCTTTATTTTTTTACTCATGAAAAATGCTTGCTGTTGGCACATAAGAAACACAATTTTTTTTCTTTGGTTGGTATTCAGAAGATCAAGTTTTACCTCTTCGTTAATTTTTATCCTCTCTGTTGGAACTTAATAGTCTTTCTCGAGAAATGTTACCATCTCTCATTTTCATTCTTAACTCTTTTCTTAACTTCTCATTCTTAACTTCTTTTTGAAATATTACTCTAATTGCGTTAGTCTAATAATATCGTCTCACCTTGTTTACATGAACACGTTTACTTGACCGTCTGGTTGGTTGACCATATAAGAGAGTGGCGGATAGTGTTGTATGCCTTCTCCAGGATCGAGCATATAATTTATTGCTATCGTCGAGGATAAGCAGGTATTCTTGATTTATAGGCTTGAAACTTTCGCAAGCTGTTCTCTGATTATGGTAATCTGTATAGGCTTGTTATTTTCCCTTTACTATCAGCTTCGCTTCTTATGCTGCTTGTTCAAGCTGTATTTTAAATTCTTGGAGATAATTAGCCATGAATTGACTCATATTTAAAGTGATAGGATTGTCTCCGCACCAGTTAGATTTCAATGCACAAAGTGGTCCTCTCGCTTCCCTACCATTCATTAGTTTGGAAGGTGATACACCAGTAGAGCAACTTAGTAAATTCTCTGCAAGCGAATAATATGAATGGTAAATATTTATCCCAATCGTGAGGATCCAAATGAATAACGCGATGTAGAGCATTCTTTAGTACTTTGTTATAATGATCGACTAAGCCATTGTTTGCAACGTACCCCGAAACTTATAATCTGGATGACAATCCAAGACAATTAGGAATTGCCGAATGTAAAGTAATTAGGAAGTATATTTTTGAGTTTGAAATAAGATTTTCAGTTAAAATATAGAAATTTGGATAGTAACGGGGCTGATGATAACGGTTGAGAAGCTTAAAAATAGAACGTTTCTCGATAACAAGGAAAAGGTGAGGTTGATTTATATTACTATTATTTCTATAATATTAACTTCATATTTTATTTATTTTGAATATGTATGTCATAACAAAATGTGTCATTTATTTCATTTTAAAGAGGGTAATGATGAAATAAATTGAGTGTAGAGCAATATTTCAACATAGCGCCATCAAATATCAAATGAATTTGGCTTGAAATTATTTTTATTTCTATTCATAAAACAAATTTAAGTAAGAGTTGTCTTAAAAATTTGTTCAGTTTTCATTCGTTAACTAGTAATTTTTAGCTTTATTTTTCATTCAGAATTTTTATTATTGTTCTACTCAGTCATGTCAAAGGTGTTATTTAATAATAGTATATGATAATAACGAAAATCTTAACATTTTCTTTTTATTTTACAGAAAAACAAAACTTATTGTTATTCATACTATTGTGCATAACATCAGGCGTCCTCCTTGTATCAACATTAACTTTAATCATTGCTAGCCGAAAGTAAGTTATAGTATGTACATGGAATGAACTCCCCTCTCCATTTGTCTGGAGCTGAGACAATGACTACTGCTACGGGGTTTATCTATTTCAAGTAAAGTGTTGGATCAATATTTAAGACAGATTTTGGTTCTGTTGCCGAGATTAAAAAATCAGGGGAGAGAGAAGCTTCCTTCGTTTAAATTCGCTATTTCTTGTTCCCATAGCGGTAGATGGTCTTAGACTTTGTGGTCGGGGGAGTTCTTCCCATAGATAGACGCATTTAAAACATATTTTTAGAATTTTTATCAAAAACGAAAACAAAAAAGTATACATAAGTGGAGGGTAGTTAATTCTTATTAAAGCATAGAAAAAAACAAAAACTCTACCGAAATAAATTTGTACTCAGAAAAATTTGGATGTAATTAGCTTCAAACAATTTTGATTAGAATGTTGAAACTTAAAGTTTTTAATAACCGTCTCTCAACTCCTTCGTCTTTCAAGTCTTAAAAATAAATTTAAAAAACAGTTTAAATTTTTCTATTTGTGAATCAGAAATTTTCTCATTGTGTCAAATAATATTCAGAACTGTTAAAAAAAAATTCGGCAATTTAAAATGTAATTCATGAACTTTTGCTATGGATTATAAGCCAGATAATCTTTTGAGTTTTATTTGAAAAGTGAGATTTTTCTCAATGAAAAAAATAATGAGATTCATTACATATTTGTTATCAAATTTAATGGCATTTAATTTTGTATCCCAAAATTTTAAGAGATTAACGCATTAATTATTAAATTGAGAAATTTAAATATTTATGGTTGGATTGTACGCGGTTCGAATTCTTATAATTGATTTCGCTGCTGAAAACACCAGTTACTACAGACTACATCCATTTCTATATTTTCTTTCGCTAAAGCGGATAATTTTAGTCTTATCGATTAAAAATAACATGTTGTTTTCGACGCCCGCCCAAAAGCAGATTTAGATTTTTTAAACCATACTACAAATACTGGTATATTCCATTTAATTTGAAAATTTGATCGTTATTGCTTTTTTTAACTAATATGAATTTTTTTTACAGGTTCAGAGGCAAAGTAAACAAGAGTTAAGCGTATTTTATAATCTTTAATATCTGTTTTATGTTGAATAAAATAAATTTTTAAGTTAAAAATTAATGACTTCTTACTCATATTTATATTGTACTTCTTATTCATATCTGTAATTAACAAATTCTTAAATCGTATTTTGTCAAAAATAGATCAATGTAAACTAAAACAAAAAAGTTGTAATTAACGAAACATAGACATTTTTGAGGTAGCCGTTTATCTACATCCTTTAATTTCTCCTCAAGAAAGGGTTTACCCACAGTTGACACTGTTTATATATATGTTATACGAAGGATCTTCCTTAATTTGACTCTCAAATTCAGAAGCATGTTAAAAAACAATCAAGAAAGTGATAACTTATATTGGCACATGAAATTTCTGTACATTATAGTACAGGAAGCAAATTTTTTAAAAATGGAACACCCAGAATAATTTTTAATCTAATGATCCAAACTTTGCGTTCTAGGAATTAATCTTAATCTCTCGAGGGAGTGATCTCACATATTCTAATTGCAGATGATATTTTAATTAACAAAGTCTGATATAGAAACTTACTTTCTCTGAATAAACATACCGCTTTTTGTCAACGGATTCGGATTTCTGAATCTCAAAATATAAGGGGCAACCGCAATCTGGGAAATATGTTACCAATAGCTCGGCCAGGATACCGATTTAAAGTTTGAAATTCTTTTGTTAATGTTAATTTTTGCGTTTTTCGAATAACTCAAAAACTTCTTAAGCAAATTGAAAAGTTTTAGAAGACAATACAGCGCTTACTAAAAGAATGGACTCAGTGACATTTTAAAAAAAAAATTGAAATTTCTCAGAGAGAGCTCTTATTTTAGCCTTAATTAAATATATAATATTCACCTATTTTTACTAAATCTATTCATTCCAAAGATACTCAGTGGAAAAACCGGCTAATATATATACAGGGTGTCCCGAAACGACCGCATAAACTCTACACAGCTAGATTCTTTGTTGGGAGTACATAAAAACTGCCCAAAGAAGCGTTCCTGCACGATCCATAGTTTACGAGAAACAAAGTATGACGTCACAGCCGGTGCAGGGGGAAAAAAGCACTTTATTGGACATATCAGCAACAGTATTTGCATATCTTTCCAGACGATAATGTTTAAAACGGACACTTTGAACATCTGATTTAAATTGTGCATTGTATACTGCTGTTGATATGTTCAATAAAGTGTTTTTTTNTTTAAGGAATGCACTTTTAAGAAGCGTACAAATAAATAAATATTTTTTTTTAAATAAAATATCTTTATAAACGGAGATGTTAAGCATTGTGACAAAAAATCACTTCATTTTTTTTACAATTCAGTCATTAACTTAGTCATCTTGATTATAGTCGAGTTTTCTAAATTTTAAACAATTTGCTTTGTTTTAAACCTCGTTTTAGGCGTTTCTAGTCAAACATGACTCTAGTGCGAACAATATACATCAATCAATTAATTAATCAGCGATTGCCTTAAGAATTCCGGTTTTAACTTATTTATTTTTCTTTAAAAAAAGTTCTTCTAGTGCATTTAAAATAAAATGGTATATTTTAAAAAGTTTCAATTGCTTATATTCGGTTAAGGCGTCGCTCGCACCATTGTGTGGAGAGCTGAGGGTAGTCGATAATACAACCCGATAGCCGATAATACAACCAACGTGTATACGTAGTAAGGTGCTCATTAAATTTGTTTTGAAAGTACTCTAGTTGATAGTGCTGTCACCTCAGGCGTCGTCCACGTCGTCTAACCACGTCAGTGACGTCCACGTCGTCATAAAAATTACTGGGAGTGCGATTTTTTTTCCAGACTATAAAATTTGATATTTTTTCTTATTAAACAGAGTATACCTACTTGTCGTAGTCTAGTACAGTGTTTAGCCTATGTGCTATTGTAATAACTGTACTCTTTGCAAATGCTGTGCGTATTGTGTTTTGAATGAAGTTGTCTGTCTGTATGTCAACCGAGGCTGTTGCTTCATCCAGAACTAAAATTTTCGTGTTTTTCAAAAGTGCTCGAGCTAAGCACACCAGTTGTTTTTGTCCGGCACTAAAAAAAATAGTGTAAAACACATTAATCATTCATTTAAAGAAAAAAATTAGAGCTCATTATAAAAACTATTTATGAGATATAAGATACTTAAAAAATCTTTTACAAATGAACACAAAAACAGAGGATTTATTCGCTAATTTTAAAACAGCAGCACTTTTCCTTGCAGTTTAAAAAAAACAACTGATTTTGGTTATTGGTTCGTTTTAAAGATTTTGATTAATAATTGTCTGCTACAGAAAAATCCTTGAATTGTAAGGTTAGAGATTTAATTTGCGAAAAATTATACGCGTCATTCGCGAAAACATAATTTATGTACATGCTTCAAAGATTTAAGTAAAAAAGTTATTGTAAGGATGGCTGTATTACAAAAACTAAAAACATTGTGTTGAAAAAATATCTTTTAATTTTATCTAAGCATCTTTTATCCATACTCATGTAAATCCAAGTAGCACTGTGCTTTTCGCATTCATAAAATTTTTAATGTATACAAGAGTGCATTTCTTTTTAGAAATAAAAGGCTCTTCCAGCTTCGAATTTTTACTTACGGATTGAGTAATGAAATTTTCCTTCAATTTTTCTTTAAATTGGTATAAATTTTATCTGCAACATATTTTTCCAGAAATATTTAACACTTGATTATTTTATGACTATTTCATTGAGTTAAAAAAAATTTATACTAATATCATCATTTATGTAATAGTTCAAGCTGCATAATATGGTGAAAATTCGATTTAAATATGGGCAAGGAAATCTTTTAATTTAGACACGCTATGAATTTCAATGTTAGAAGATTTTATAACTGTTCGGTTCAACTATTAAAAAAATATCTATAAAAATATGAGCGATGATTCATATAAAATAAGAATATTTAAAAAATTTAAAACTGTGAAAATATAAGCAAAATTTTCGAAACCTGTGGAATTTATTTCAAGAGCATATATACCTCAGATTTCCACCATTCTCTTCAACGTTATGATTCAAACCATCATCCAGAGTTGTCACAAATGACTTTAAGTGAGATCTTTCCAAACTTTGCCACAATGCGTCATCGCTGTATTCATTGCTGGGATCTAAATTAGATCTTAAGGTACCCGTGAAGAGAACTGGATCCTATATAAAGAAATCAAAGCCACAGAATTATCCCATGCATTAAAACGCCTGTTATATTTGGTCGTTATTTTTATATTTCGCCAATATTTTTAATGCTTTGCATCATTTGACAGTCTTATAGAGCACATAAGAAAATATTTAAAGAAATAAACTTTTGAGAACTCCGCCATTATAGTTACTATTTTTGGAACCTTACAAACACACAATTTTATTTTCAAATTAAAAAATTTAACAATTAAATTTCTTATCGCGGTATTTATAAAGAAATAGCAGTTTTATAAGTTTTGTTCTAATGATAGTATATCAATATTATTCGCCAGCCTAGAATAGTAACAGAATTTACTATGTCAATGAAATAAATCCTTTTACTGCCTTTTTCAACCACCCTGAACATTGAGAAATTGTATTCTTTTAACTTTTTTTATTTCACAAAATTCCAGTTAATTAAAAAAATTTTATTTATTAAAGAAAAATAACTTTGTTGATTAAATTAATTAAATAAAATTAATTTGGTTAAATAAATTAATTAAAAAATAAATTTGTTTAATTAAATTAATTAAAAAAAATAATGTGGTTAATTAAATTAATTAAAAAAATTTATTCGGTTAATTAAATTAATGAAAGAAAAAATTCGATTGATTCCTGTTAATTTAGAAAATAAATAATTTTATGTCCTCCCACTAAACAATTTTAAGACACCCTTTTTTGAGAAAAGAAAATTGGTCTGAAGAATAATCTGCATAAGCCGTGATAATCTGCAGCGCTCCTTTCCGTGCTGGAGAGCGTACAGACGCTCGATCGATTAACGGAATCGATTAACGGAAATAAATTTATGTCTGCTTTTCCCAGCTTGACTTTGTTCTAAATATCAGTGGGGGTTCAGGTGATCAGATAGAGTGATCGCCTCGAAGTGGACACACTTTCGAATTCCATCTATATAACTACTTTGATACGAATTCTGCACCCGGCTCGCACCGACCATAGTTCTGACGTAAAATATGTTAAGTGGTAGACGGCTCACTGGTTAGAGTCCCCTTGCAGTCAGGCTAACTGTGGGAGGATTTCGTGGTTTTCCTTCCATGCAACGCAAATTCGGGTTAGTTCCATCAAAAAGTTCTCCTCGAAAGCAAATTTCTCCCTGAACTTGTTCCCTTGTCTTTTGAAGTGGGTTCAAAATTACAAGGCTACGGAGTTTAACTTTGGTAGTCATAAACTTAAAATTGGGTTTGTTGTTCAACGATGCTTATAATATTATATTATTACCCTCTAAATCAGAGCTGAAGACCTCTTTTCATAAATAAAATTTAAACATAGACGTAACTTAAATTCTGTGAATAAAGAATGCCGTGCTAATTCAATTCACATGTTGAAAATTTATGTTCTTAGAAATATAAGTTTTTGCTTATTTGCTTTCTCCAATCGATCTGCTCTGTTCAGCTATCTTCTATTATTCTGTATGAAAAAAGTGCATAATACTTTTTTCTAGTTTTCTTATTTATTTTATAACTTTTTTCTCATTTCGATATTAAAATTATAAAGAATACTTTCAAAGATTTATCAGCCGCAGAACGTTCTTAGAAAAATGGAGAATAAAAATTAAAATGGAAAATTGGTGAAGTTTTTCTTGAGAAAAAAAAAAATATTACGAAACTAAATATCGACAATATTTCCCTAGAAAAGTTTCTCTTAGTTTTACGAAAAATTAAATACAAGATGGTTAATCAAGCAAGAATTAATAAAATAAATTTCAAGTGTTTTTGGCGGTGGCGAAATATGACGCAACTATATTAAGTATATAATTAAAATTGAAATGAGTTATTTTTACATTGAATCAATTAATTCTCACAAATAAAAGAAATAGTTGACTTACCTGAGGAATTATAGTCAATTTTGATCTCAATTTGTGCAAACCCATTTTAGAAATATCCACATCGTCGATGAATATCGTTCCTGTCACGGGCTCTATAATTCTAAACAAACCCATGGTGATTGATGATTTTCCTGCACCAGTACGTCCTATAATGCCGACCTGAATGGAAATTTGGAAATTATATTCTTAATATGATTTGCTAAAATTCTAGAATAGAATAGAATAAAATATATATATACTCTCCAGAATCTCTTAGTCATTCGTTTCGGCTGGAATTGACTACATGAAAGGTAGAAGAGTTGCGGCTGATTGCTGAAAATTTCAGTAAGTGTTTGCGCCTCTGTATCGTTGCAAAATTCGACGACATATTGAAATCATTTAATTCCATCATAAAGTGATATGTAATATGAAATATCTTCCTACTACTCTCTACGTTGCAGAGAAGAGGGGACATATAGTATTAACTCGAGTGATTTTTTTTAAAAAATCTCGGTGAGGATGGCTGCATTCAAACTTCAAACCGCAGCTTGTGGAGAGAAACTGATTGAAGATTTGAAAACTGCAGCACGAAAATGTCCAAAATCTGTTAAAAAAATCTCACACACCAGAAATAAAACAAAAATAAATTGTTTTCTGTGTTATTAATCTTAATATTATAATTTTCTTTTCAATGTTTTTTCTAGGTGCGCATTAATCCGGTCTGTAAAATAAATATACACTAGGAGGCTTCGCCCCCTGCTCACTGGCGCTCGCCAACCCGCGGAACTGCTTTCACAGTTCACTTCGGATTGCTTCGCAATCCGATGCTCGCTCATTGGATACGTTCTTAACGTCTAGCTTTTGTATTCTTTTTTGAATACTGAAGTTCCGAAAACTTTTCACTGTAGAAAATTCTAAGCCTGTGCATTTCAATATTAATTTGAAATTGCAAACAGTTCACATACTTTGTTTCATCACACTATTCTAAATTTCAGTTGTTGAGAAAAGTAACTGTTGTAAGTTTTGTTTTAAAGTCTTTCCCACCAGAGGGCTAAAACCATGTGTTGTAAAACAATATGAAATAGTACTGAACGCCGGATGTAAAGCATCGGCTTCGATGAAGATAATTTTGTGAGAATTTTTTTGATAATTCGGTGAGAATTCACCCGATTAGACATATGATGCTCAATACGTGCTCTTGCGCGCCGAAGCCTATCAATTAAAACGTATGAGCGTTTTATATAATATAGATTAGCCATATGATGCTCAATACGTGCTCTTGCGCACCGAAGTCTATCAATTAAAAATGAAAACTGTTGCCAACGCGAGAAAAGAAATATCATCGATTTTATTGATACATACGTATTAGAGTTTTATATAATTTAGATTATTTTGCTTATCCAAGTATGGATTTACTAGTAGTTAGTATGTTTTTTAGAGCACAGAAATCCAGTTTATCTTAGACATTGGCTAATAGTTATTGCATTTGTATTTTAAATTATTGCATCTGCAGGTAATGCCAATAGAATTAAGAACAGTAATTAGGAAAGGTTATGGTAAATAAAACAGACCCATCATGAAAATATAAATGAACTAAAATAAAAAGAAATAAAAAAGTTTTCATACTTTTTCACTTCCACTTATAGAAAGATCAACATTTCTTAATACTAAATCCAGATTTGTTCTGTATCTTGTACTATAGTTCTTAAACAAAATCTGTCCAGTGGATGGCCAATCAATATTTTGGGAATCTGAAGGTGTATCCCAAGCAGCCTAGATTGCAACAAAATATAAATTTAAAAAAAAAAATACAAAACAATTTTTTTGTTTAAATCTTTGTTTAAAAATTCCTTAAAAAACAGGCTCGTGTTTTAAAGTATTAAAAAATAAAAAGGAAAAAAATAGCAAGTTCCTACTTCGGAATCAAGTTTGCAGTATTCATCAACTCTTTCAACGGAAATAGATTTATCTTCAAGATGACAGCTATTTCTTATGAACCATTTTATAGCGTCTGTGATCTGTGGGAAAAGGTATTTCTAATGGTATCAATTGATTTATGTTTATTTAACCGTATAAAAAGATTTATTTGCTATAGTATTATAGATCAGCGTTTCTCAACTTGGTCTATTCGAAGGACATGTGAAATATTTTTAAGTCTTTTCAAGGACTGGGAGCTATTTTCCATGCGGTTTTATACGAATTGCTCTCCTATTTGGTATTTTTGTTAAATAAAGAAAAACATGAGTTTTGATTTTTGTTTTAGTTCAGGTAACATATTATATAAAGATTACATGTTCTCATTATAATTAAGACGAAGTACCGCCAAGAGGAAAATCTCCAAAAAAGAGAGCAAGTCGTTTAATACCGTTATGTTGCAAATTAACCCACCTGTAATGTTGGTAAGTTGGATTATTGGCATAAATTTTACAGGTTAAATTGTGGAATCTATACTGCATTATGCTTCTTAAATAATTTAGTGTTTATATAAGTTCAAACAGCATTTTTAAGTACAAAGGGTTAAAAATAACAATTTGTAGGAAATATGTGGCCTTCGGAGCAATATTAATTTCAGATATGAAATCCCCACTCCCGAAACAGTAAGAGGTGTACGTGCATGACTGTAACAAAACATTTGTTTACCAGTGTTAATTATAATATAAATATGTTTATTTCGATCTGAAATCACTCATGCAACAGTTTTTAAAATAAATTTAAGTAGTAAATAGCAATAGAAAATATTCACACTAATAAACCTTTCGTTGGAACAACTTTCGCTTTAATTTTAAGAAATTAACACACTCCAATAATTGAAACAATTATTCTTAGTTCATAACTACATTTGCTTATGCTTCGTATATATTTTATTAATTTTTTTAAGTAAAAAGTGGTACCATCATGGTTTTATTCGCAATTAATTTATAAAAATAAGTTTTTTGTGTTTACAACAAATAATAAAATACTTCATCTTGTCTCAACTGTTTTAGTTCAATGCTCTTCAAAGCCAGAGTGATAGCTAATAAAAAATATTTACTGAATTGAAAAATATGATATTACCACTTCTTCTTAACAAAACTTTCTCATCATTTCAATATTTAGGACCAGTGAAATGAAAATTAATTAATCTTGCAGTGGCATTTATTTAAAAGTATTGTAATTAAAGATTAAAATGTATAGCTTACATTTAAAGTGTAAGTTATCATTAATCCGATATCAGCAGCAGTCAAGTTATGACGGTTATTAACAGCCAGGAAAATTGAAATAAACACAATGATACTGCCAAGCATATTGAGCCAAAAATTAAACCACCTATAAGAAATAAATACATATTAAGACACCATCTTTGAATTAAAGTATTTTTTATGTAAGACTAATGAGAAAAAAACAAAGCCATAATAATAATTCCTCATTTCTAAACAAAATAGTTTTTTTTTTTTTTTTTCAAAATTTTTTCAGTTATGATCTTTTTTCTAATCTAATTCAATTATTTGTTTTTCCTAATTCTTATTGTATTCCATTTTTAATTTCCATGTCATTTAGTCACGTTTTAAAATATGTGACGGTTATTTTTCTCTCTTGCTTAAATTTGAAAATTAAAAACATGCAGGCAGTTACAGAGTAATTTAAAAAAGTACCCATTTAAAACACTTTAGAAGAATGTTTTTAAAAATGTAATAAGAGCTTTTAATAACATTTTTTAGGATCATTTTGTTAGACATCGTTCTTAGTGTAGTCTTAATTAGCAGGGATTCCAATTTCTCCACGCTTTTTAAATTGAAAAGTCAAATCTGTACTGACGTGAGTGTCTGTACATACAGTGCTGACGTGAATTATCCTCAGTGGTAGACGGATCATGGGTTAGAGTCCCCTTGCTGTCATGCTAACTGTGGGAGGTTCTCGTGGTCTTCCTCACCATGTTACACAAATGCGGGTTAATTCCATCAAAAAGTCCTCCATAATGACAAATTTCTCCCACTACTTGATCCAGGAGTTTCCTTGTCCTCTGTTCAAGGGTCAAAATTACGAGGCCGCGGAATTTAAGATTTGTAATCGTAAACCCAAAATTGGGTCGGCTGTTCAACGACGGTTATAAAATAGAAAAACTAAGCATAACACTTACTTATATTAGTATAACTAATTTATTTTGTTATGTTTGGATTACTAATTTGTCATGGGAGAAAAACAATTTAAGATTTAACGATTAAAATTAAGATACATACATTTCTATATAACTGTTGTGTTTTTGTTGCGAAAAAAATTTCTCAACGACATTACAGATTGGAATCTATGCATGAAATACTTATATTTGAATGTGATGTCTAAACACATTGTATTTAAAAAAAAAAGCTGAAGTGATAGAAAAAGGAGATCCATTTAGCATTTAAGAAAATATATAAACCACTTTTTGTGGCCGGGCATTAGTAGTCTATATAATTAGTCTTATATCCTCCAACATTTAAGATTTTTACGAAATATTTCTCCTGGTGTTTCATGTATACACAAGTGGGAAAAAATTGTGGAATTTTTATTCTAACTCTGAATAAGAATAAAGAAAAAAATTTTACCTTAGTATAATCCCCATCTACATGTTAATCAAACGCACTTCTTCCTTACAATTGACATTTGAAATAATTCTTGTATTTCATACGTAAAAAAATTATAAAATAATTATCTTAAATATACTGTTTTTTTGTTTTTTGTATCGCTGTATAAATAAATAATTACCTCTTACTTCCTATGGTGGAACAAAAACAAACCATATGATTGTTCAGTTTCCTTTCAAAACTTTCAATGAATTCTTCTTGCACCTTGTAAGCGCCAATTGAAGACACTCCTTGTATGGATTCCAACAGCTGACTGTAGATGGGAGATTTTGTTGTCGATTCCAGTCTTCTGATTTGACGATAAGTGTTCAGATGCAGTTTCTGAAAAGTTTTCATCATGCGTTGAACTAATTTTTTTTTTTTTTGCAAAATTGAAGTGAAATAACTTTAAAGAGTTGCTTACGAGAAATATGTAGTAAATAATGCCCAGAGGAGGAAGTGAAGCCAGAAAAATGGGAGCATTTCTTCCAATCATGTAAAAGGAGGCAAAAGCGTATAGGATGCAGTTCAGCCAACTTTCAATTTGACTATAAATTTCAGTATCTATAACATCCAAATCAGAACTGAACCTGTGATGGATAAAAACATCATTCAGTTAAAACTGATTAAACTTATAAAGAGGGATTGATTACACTGGGAAATAATTTTTCTTGTTGTTTGTTGCATGAGATTTAGATATTTTTGCGTTGCAGACTTCAGATCTGTAGTCGGTTTCTCTCCACAAACTACAGTTTTTATGTAATTTAATTATGTAATTCCAATTAAGGTTTTTTAAAATACATTAGAGTGAATACTAAGTGCACCCACTATCGAATCTGATAAGAATAAGGCGATAGTATATTTCAAATTATGATGCTCTACTTTAAGGTTACATGTTTTTTGTCTTTAGTGTTGATTTCAAAACAGCAGCAGGCGTATATGCACAGTAAGCGAAAGAAATTACGGGTCACCATTTATAACTTTTGATCTAATGATCGGATCTTTACGTTATAAGACTCACTCTTAATGGCGTGGGTGTGTGACATTAAATATGTTAAGTAATAAGAGCTGACCATGTTTTAAGTTACGAAATCAGACACAAAATACTTTCTCTCAATAAACGTACTTCTTTTTTCGATGGATTCAGATCTCTGACCTCCAAAATATGTGGAGTAGCCACAATTAAGAAAATACTGTCCCAATAGTTTGGTCAGGAGAACGGTCGAAGTTTCGACGCCTTAGTGTTAATTTTACTTTTTGCGTATTTCACTATATCTCGAAAAAATTTTAAGGGGAGTGAAAAACTTTTGCACACAAATATAAAATACATTTATCCAAAGACAATTCCACGCTAAAAATTACTTTTAGTAAATATTTATTATTTTTTATTATTTTATTTAATAATAGTCGAAAAAATTTGACCTATAGGGTATGCAATTTATGTCATTTTAAAGAATGTAATTTTACATGGCATAATACAAAATTTTAATTAAATCGGTCGTAAAGTTCATGAGATATCTGCTGTTAGATGTGCTAACTTTATAAATTGGAGTTTTTTAAAGTATGTTTTTGTGTTTGCTTTGATAACTTAAAATACCGTTTGCAATAATTAATTAGCAAATTTGGGGTCAACCAGTCGAACCATTAAGATCCAACCATTAGATCAAAAGTTATTCGGTGTGATCTATTTTGTACACTGTATGTGCATTAACCTACACGTTCTTTATAAACTTGTAAAATGATACAAAAGAGTTAAAGCTAACCTGTTCGTAATTCTTCCCATTGGTGTGCTATCGAAAAAAGACATCGGAGATTTTATAAGGCTATTCAGCATTTTATTATGAAATCGACCAGCAGCTGTAATCACTCCATATGCTAAAGACAAGCTTCCGACGATGATGAAAATAGCTAAAAACAAAAAAGTTTCTTTTAAAAAAAGAGCAGACTTTAAAATTTATACTATTTTGTATTTATAAGGATCGCTTGTTAAAAATGTATAATAAATCAGTGTTTCTTTCCAATTTATAAACTATTTTAAATTTCTGCTTCTTCCAAATACATATTTACAAGTATTTGATTTTTTTTCATAAAGTGTAAAAAAAAGGAACCATGCTTTTTTATAATCTTACAATGCATGTGATGTCAGATCCCAGACAATTAAAAGTCATACATGATCGTTTTCGGTGTATATAGTACCACTATTGAGCTTTGTTAATTGGAAAGATAAACGACCTGAAACAAGTCATACTTCACGAAGCAATGATATTGTATTGTAAATATGATTAAATAAATGACATTACTTATTTGATTTATTCAAGCAGGTCGTCCTAGAACTATACTCTGTTTGTAAAAATATTTCATAGAAAAGCAGACTATTAATATGTGTGTATATAAATATATATATATATATATATTTTAGTGATTTTNATATATATATATATATTATTCCTCATAGGAGTCTTTCTATATTAAATGATAAGCTTAAAACAGATGTTTCTGATCAATTTTAAGATGTAGAAGTCGGTCTCTCACAAAGAGCCATAAAAGTCAAGATAAACCAGATAAGGCCAGATAAAAGATTATTTTCTGAAGTTAATGGGCAATAATTCGTAGATAAAAGACTCATTAAGATAGTCCCAAAAACTTCCCAGGGCGAGAATGGCGCCACCCCTTTAGTGAATCAAAATGTCTAAATATTATCATTTGAATGACGATTCAGTAAGATAAGGATACTCTTGCAACCAACACCCAACCAACACTCAGTACCAACACTTTAAATATCAAGAGCCCCAAAAATTCGTGGCTTTTTCATATTTTCCTAGCTAGGTAAATCTGGGTCAAATCTAACTGGGCCTGCTAGGGAAACCCACCCATTTAAGCGATGGAAACTCCAGCGAACAATGTTTTCAATACTTATAACTTAACTTATTACTTAACTTATTATTATAACTTAATAAAATGCCTTTTTATCTGAATCAGCCAAAGTCCCTTAAATTATCTAGCCCTTAAAGGCATATTATTACATATATAACCTTTTCAAATTTGTTGATCTTTGTTACAGGCAAAAATATATTTTAGTATTTTTTAATTATAAAGAACACAGTCTAAAAGTTACTTAAAAAAACTGTTAGTTAATGGGAATCATATTTGTACTAAAATATAAAATCCCAAAGAAAGTAGTTTGAAAAAAAACTTTTTTTTTTCATATATATTCAAAAATTTATCAATGGTTGATTTTTCGTGAATTGAAGAATTTTAAATAATTAATAACTGTTTCTCTTTGATCTGAATAAACTGCAAATTTTAAAATTTGAAAGTTATTGTTTGGAAAATTTTATCTTTAAAAAAAAAAAAAAAAAAAAAAAAAAAAAAAAAAAACAGTGATATTTTACAATATATTTCATGACCATAAATTATTAAAATGTTAAGTATAATATTTTTTAACTTATTTTGTCCCAAATTAATACACAATAAAGAAAAAAATTATGAAAAATACGTTAAATAAATATTCTGCTTCAAATGGTTTTTAAAAAATCAAAATATACGTAAATAACTTTTCAACAAGTAAAAAGATTAAATTATGTTTCTTAATAAAATGCTCAAATCTCTAACTAAAATATTTTTATAATAATTTTTTATAATATAATATTTAATAAAATTGTTTAATAATTATTAAATACCTAATTACCTTGTCCTAATCCCAATGCACTATAAATTTCCAATCTATACGTAGAGGTGGAAATACTATGTGTTCCATTCACTCCGTTATCAGATGTCCATTTTCCTAACCAAATATTGCCGTAGGTCTAAAAGGAAACCAATAATTATAAAAAAAAGCAAATTTATGATATAAAATGGGTTTTTTATAGATAAATTTAAGAGCGTTACCGTTCGGATTCTGTAACTTTCAATATCAGGATTCGTTCAAGTCTAACGTAATCTCAATACAGCACTAGATTACTTGCTCAAATAAGTTTTGAAAATATTAATTTAACCCTTTTGAAGGCCGTGGTAAGTATACTTATCACCACGTTCTACCACTTTTAATTTAGGTTTCCATTTTTCAATAATTTCAGCTTTCTTGAAGTGAGTTTGAATAAAATTGGTAACCATTTATCGCTTTTAAAAAACGTATGAAAGTTATAAAATACATAATTCCTTTTGAAGTATGTAGCATTTAAGGAATTTATTTTATAAATAACAAAAATAAAAGTCAGTAAGTTCCTATTAGGTCATGTTAAATACATTTACCACCAAAAAAATGACATTTTTATAAACTAAATGAGTTTTTTATTTTTAATATCAGTTACTGTTCTTAAAACAATTTCAATTCCAAAAATACTTTAATTTACCTTTACTAGAAATAGAGGGTCCGTTAAAGGGTTAAGAGATATAAAAGGCAATTTATAACAGTAGAAATATTTATGATACATTTTGGCTCTTCTATACACAACAAAAATTTAGAATACAATTGAAGCATGTTCAATTTAATATGGAATTGAAGGATTGTAATTTATTCCTAACATTATGTGAAATACGAATGCCTTAGAATAAAAAAAAATCCAAGTTCAAGTAAAATAATACGAGTCTAACATATTTAATTAAACCGATCTCATGAAATTCTTGTCAGTTTTAAAAAGGTATAAAGAATTTACCTCCATTATAACGTAGCACAAAAATCCAAATACAGTTATAACCCATAAAGGGCAACTCATGTTCTTCATATAAGTCCAATACACATGGCGATGTACCTGTAATAGAAAATCATTGAATATATTATTAAATGTAAATTTGTTTAAAAGCATGTTAGATAGTCGCCCGTCCAAAAACATAAGAGAGAATCATTTTTATTGAGCTTTGATTTACAGAGTTTAACATATGACTTCAAGAGGCAGAAGTTAAGAGTAAAGTTAACAGGTAAATTTATAGTCGATATCTATGCAGCGAAGTCAGTCGAAAAACATATTATTCCTATGGCTGCAAATAGTAATTTTACTTTTTGCGTTTAGCACATTATCCTTGACGTATACCAATTTCTTAATATACTTTTAATAATTTCATATAAATGCAAGAAATATTCACAATAATCACAAATTCAAAATTTGAATAAACTATCTGATAAAATTTACGAAAATATTTTTTTGAAATTATTTTAGTAATTTTGTTTTAAGAAATCACAGTTCATATTGATTATTTTTTTCAAAGCTCATAAGTAATTTTATAAAATATTTACATTTTTTTTATTAAAATTAAGTAATTGATATGAATGGGAAATTATTAGCTTATTATAAAAATGCTTCATAATTGATATCCTAATTAATATGAATTTATAAACAAATAATTAAACATTGTTTCTAAGAAAATTCAATTATTTATCATTTTGTAAATTTTGTGATTATGTTCCATGTCTTTTACTAACATACTTATTTCTAGAGAGTTGATTCCTACGATTTTGAAACATACTTTTCATTAAGCTACTACACATATTTGTCAAAAATAGATTCTGATTTCACCAGGTAATAAATTAGGTATTAGTTTCTTTATTCCTTCCTTTCTTAATAATTACACTGTGAAAATTATTTCTAATGTTACATTTAAGAAAGTACTTGATCTGACTTAATTCGGGTGTGGGGATTTCAAGTCTGAAATTAGTTTATTGACGACAGCTAAAGATTTTTTTTCTCAATGGCACTTAATTTATTTTTTTCCTTAATTTATATTTTCCTACATGTTTTAAAGGAATTTATAGGTTTATGTACATACATATATGCTTGTTAGTTCAATTGAAAGTAACACTAAAGACAAAACGCATATGACCTTAACGTATGGCATCATAAACTGAAATGTATTTTCGTCTTCCTTCTACTACGTCTTACATAGCAAAGAAGTGGAGACACTTAATATTCAATCCGCGTGAATTTTTAAAAAATTTCTGGTTAAGAATACATTATTCAATTGCATAAAAACTACCGGTATGTTAAATTTCACAGAAACGAAGAAATTAAGTTTTTATTAACGGGAAAATTATTTTAAACCCATATAGATTTTTGACGAAAATTGTCCTCAAAAAATGACAACTAATATTTTTTAGTTCGCGGGCCACCAAAAAAGGCTTCGCGGGCCGGGTGCGGCCCCCGGGCCGCCAGTTGGAAACCCCTGACCTAGAGGATCTCTCCCTCGTTGCGAAAAGAAAATAAATATTAACACGTTGAATGTTACGCTAATTTTACATGGCTTGCTCGTCTGGCCACACGGTAAATAACTGCAAACTGAATTTGCAAATATAGACAGATTTTGCTAGTTTGTAAAAGGTTTAGCATTACACATCTAAAAAAAGTGGCGAATAATATATGTCTACGAATTGTTTAAAAATAGTGGTGGATAAAAATCTATTAAATTGAATTTATTAAACCAAGAATCAGAATAATTAAGTAAATTTTGAATAAATTTTCTGCAATTCCATAAGAGAGTGTAAATTTTATAGTTCTATATCATGCTATACGCTGTCAGCCAGCTGTTTTTCGCGGCCTATGTGCAAGGTCAGTGTCAGCAAGCGGTGGCAGACGCGGCCTAAATGTAATTTCAGCGTCAGCCACCGGTGGTTGACGCAGCCTAAATATAATTTCAGTGTCAGCCAGCGGTGGTTGACTCAGCCTAAATGGAAAGTCCAGTGTCAGCCACCGATGGCTGACGCGTCGCTCAACGTGTTAAATAAAAACATTTTGATGGTTTGAAAAAGTTATTTTCTTTAAATTTGTTTCTGAGATTATAAAAAAGTAGAAGAAATACAGTTCTATCATTAAAAATTACTCAATAAATATATTTATTGATATTTACTTTTCCAACTACCATTCTCTCATCTTCAATCAATCGATACGTTTTTTCTGTTTCGATGGCGTCAAATGGATTTAATTTTTGATCCTTATTCAAGCCATCTTCTGAATTTTTGGAGGAAGTTGAATCTGTTGATATGTACCTGCAGAGCATTCTAAAAAATAAAATGTAAATGTAGTTTTTACTGTAATTGATGTAGTAATTGATTATGTAATTGAAATATGCTACTTCTTGGTAGCAGATTAAGAATAAATTATTGATTTTAAAGTTACTGTGTAGCTAAATTTTAAAAATTCAAATAATGATGGATAAAATTTAAAGTTCTTGAAATGTAATAGAAAATTTTAAAATAATATTGTTCTTGAATTCTATGCATAAAATATAATTATAATCACGTTTAAAACAATTTTTCAGCAGCACAAACTTTCAATTTGTTATAAAGAAATTTAATTTTCTGCAATATTTATTACATATAGAGTTTCGAGAACTAATAATGGAAATTAAACACAAATTTAAGGGATTGTATTAAATAATATATATTTCCTAGTAGAAAATACAAAATTTTTGAGTTTCATAAATAAAGCAGTAATATTGGAAAATAAAGTTTTAGTTTTTAAACAAAATTTCTTCTATATTAAGCGACCATAAAATAAAAATAATGCTAAAAACGTAATCTTTTTTTAAAAAAAATAGTAAAAATCAACAAAAATTCTACAGTTTTGAATCTCTTTTTTTCAAGAGAATCATGGTCAAGTAAAAATGAAAGTAGAAATTTAAAGAAAAAAAATTGTAGACGAAGTTGCAATGGTAACAAAGTGCACAATAAAGTAAATTTTATAAAACCGTATACTGTAAATCAAAATCTATACCAATTCAATAAAATATTTTGAGGGAGCAACGAAGCGAGCGGGGGGTAGTGCTCCCCCTAGTAGTAAATATTTTATAATCAGTAATACTATTGTTTTTTATTCTTGTTTTACAATCTTTGTCGTTTACTAGAACAAATATTTTCGTTTATTAGAATTATTAAAATTAAATATTCGTCTGAAATTTTAAACACATATCGACTTTATCTCGGAAAAGAGTTACTTGTTTAAAAAATGATTTAAAGTTTAAGTTTCAATTTTTAAAAAAAATAGTTTTTAACGAAATGAAATTAGAATCAATGAACAAAACAAAACTGAAAAATTCCTCCATAGTTACTTTTTATTTTCATCTGTATTTTCCTCTAAATTCTTTTGGCTAGTGTGTTCTTGAATAAAATCAGTGAAAGATTTATTTTGACTTAACAAATCTTGATAAGAGCCAACTTCTTCGATTCTACCATCCTTCATGCTTATAATTATATCCACTTTATGCAGCATTGAGACATCATGGGTAACAAGAATTCTGGTCTGGAAATATTAGACCACAATATGAAGTTCTGGGCGAAAGAAGGTACCAAATGACATTTTATTGAAATTAGCTAAAGTTTGTTGTTATTTTACAGAATCTAATTACTTTAAAGAGCAGTAAAGTTAATTTTTTGGAGTAAATTGAGATCTTTTTACTGTCGGAGAAATTTTAATGATTTTATGTACTAATTTAAAAGGCTATGTACTAATTTATGGGCGAAGAAAGGTTTCGAATAACATTTTATTGAAATTAACTAAAGTGTGTTGTTATTTTACAGAATCCAATTATTTTAATGAGGAGTAAATAGAATTTTTTTGAGTAAATTGAACTCTTTTTACTGTCGGAGAATTTTTAATGATTTTATGAACTAATTTAAAAGGCTATGTACTAATTTATGGGAGCAGGAAGGTTCCGAATCACATTCTATCATAATTAAATAAAGTGTATTGCTATTTTACAGAATCTAATTTTTTTAATGAGAAGTAAATTGAATTTTTCGGGGTAAATTAAGCTCTTTTTTATTGTTGGACAAATTTTGATGATTTCTTGTATATAAAATATGCTTGATATCTTACTTTTTTTCTCAGTAATCCATCGTTTCCAATGATGTCATCAAATAATGCTTTGCGAACGTGAACATCTACTGCACTGAGTGTGTCATCCAGAAGGAAAATATCTTTGTCTTGATATACAGCACGTGCCAAACTGACACGCTGTTTTTGACCGCCACTCAAATTTACTCCCTACGAAACACAAAAACATACTTAAAAAGGTACATTTAAAGCAAGTAGAACCACTTGAACTCGTTATACTCGAAATTAAGATGAACATTACTCAAATTAAATTATCTGATGATTGATGACCGCACCTGGAAAATAATGGTCCTCAACATTAAGGCAATTAAACTTTTGTTAAATAGTTCAGATTTTCTTTTATTAAGTTGTAATCTTCAAGTGTAATGGTTGGAACTTTATGATAATTAATAGTTTGTACGATATTTTAAATTATAAAAAACAGACAAAGAAACTTCCTCTGAATCTATTTTAAGCAGATTTATATCTTTGACCCACAAAATATGAGAGGCAGCTGAAATTTGGAAAATTTATGCAGACTAAACTATTGGTACTGTATTCTCCAGGATTTTACTACCTTCAGAGTTTGGTGTTTGAAAACTGAATCAGTGTGAATAAAAGGAATGTTTTGCATCTGATTTGTTTTTAATTTAAATGTCATTTGCACTAGTTAATCAACATCTTTAAGATCTATCCTTCAAACCATTAAAATTATATATCAAATAAACATCCGATCAATAAATTAAAACTGAATCAGAATAGTTCAGTTTTTTTTAACTTTGTACGTACACTGTTCATAATAAGGGAGGGACAGTGCCAAAGCTGACAAATCTTTCATTTTGGTCGGAAATTTCTTCTTTTTTTGTGATCACAAAAGAATATTCTTTTCTTTCTTCTTATTCAATAAGTGTCTAAGTGTCTTTAAGAAAGAAAATGCTGCAGCATATAATTAATTCTACAAGATAACTACAAAATAAAAAATGATTGTGGGAGTTTACTGAATTACAATTAAACAAGGTACCCATACAATTAAACAAGATTGGTCTCAAGAATATAAACATGAGCCAATAGCTGTGCTGGTGTATATTAACAATTCCCACAGCAGCCTATTTTGCACCAGGGAACCATGAGGTTAAGGCTCCTCAATTTGGTAATCAACGGAACGATTGTAGAAATGTGATCAGCATTGCTCACAAGCCACTTTTACTTAGTAGACAAGCTGGTAACCATCTATCTGAAGCTGGTATCGTATCAAGCCGCCAACACCACCACTGAAGGAAAATTTTGAAAAAAATATTTCAAATCTATTAGAAGGAACTTTACCTTTTCCCCAATTTCTGTGTTGTCACCAGCAGGCAAAATTTCCAAATCAGGCCTCAAACAGCAAAGATCTAACACCTTATCGTATTTTTCTTCAACTAAGTGTTTCATTATCAAAATATTTTCTTTAACTGTGCGATTTAAAATCCAGGCTTGTTGTGGAACGTAAGCCAAGCTACCCTGGAAAAAAAATTATAAAATAAAAGTTAAGCTTGACAATTTTCTTTATTTTTATATGAAGAAATATAATTGAATTCTACTTTATAAATTTTGAAGCTTATTAGGTTTAAGTTTGCAAAATAAAAAATGTGTATTTTGAAGTTTATTGTCGTAATATTGTACTGATGGTGCCTATAATTTTCATCAAAATCAGTTCCTACTAGCTATTTTATAAACGGTAGCCGTTTGCCTGATTGGATTTTTGGCTGCTCTGTTTGGTTGTTTGCTGACTGCTGGTCACCTCATGTGTTTATCGGCAGTTATAAATTTCTGTCTGGTACAATCACTGCATTCATTCATCTTAACCCCTTGGGGACGGGTGATTCAGAAAAGCGTTCGTACAAAATCAGAATCAAGTTGTAGTTAGATAAAAAGCGGTAACTTAAATGTAGTCGTTACTAATTTGACAGACTTACTTTGTTTTTACTTTAATTATTGTCAGCTTAATCATATATATAATCAATGACAATTCAAGGTATAACTAAATAGTTTTATTTTGAACAAAGTAATGGTGAGTTAAATAAATCAAACAATTATAACTCCGCCCACAAATAAACTGCTAAAGAAATACTTTGATTACCAGTTTTATCTTTTTACCCTGATTGACTCGGTTTTATGCTGGAACGTATTTGTGACAGTCGGCCCGAAAGGGTTAATTCTCAAAGTTGAAATTCGAAGCCTACAAGAAGAGTATCTCATACATACACATGCAGTAGCATCATGCATCTAAGTGCTTCACAGTTCTATTCATATTTATTCGACAACCTGGATGATAAAATATAATGTTCTCCTTTTCTCATACCAGAAGCAATGCTGCCAACAACTACGGTTTCTGTAAAATATTTCATAAAGTGTTTGATAATAAAACACTGAAGCTCTCAGAATTTTGGTAGATTTTGCCAACATTTTAAAAGCTTCACCATGATAGTAATACAATTGATGAGCATTTAAAATGAACTTTTGAATAATTCACTTGTAGTGGTAAGAAAAATAACTCTAACTCAAATTTACTAAATTCATACATTTTAACATAATTTTTGCTACCACTAGAAGATGTTTTCTAAGAAAGTGGAGAAAGTTGGCAGCCTTGTAGATGTCATCACTTGATTTGCAAAGCTTCACTCTATGATTCACAAGCGACCTACTGTAGTTACCAAGTCAGACATGACTTACAAAGTGGTATTTTACCTCAATTTCAAAATTATTCATAAATAATGTGTTATAGCAAAGCAACTTGAAATTAAATAACAAACCAGGAATTAAATCTTAGAAATTCAAATTTTGCTGCTACAAAAAGAAACAATTTCTAATACAGAGATGCCAACTGCTCCGGATACTTCAAAATAATTAAAAAAGCGGTAAATAACTACATAGTAAATTTTGCAAATATTTAACTGTCTTTGTTTACTTTTTAAAAGGTATAGCATTTTATCAATACTAGAAAGTGGTGAATTATATAAGCCTACAAATTATTAAAAAATAGTGGTAGATAAAAATCTACTAAATTCAATTTATTAAGCTAAGAATCTCAATTGAGAAACTACCTCTTTAAAATATATATTTGCTGTCCGGAGCAAGTTGGTATCTCTGCTAATATAGTAATAAATAAACTTTTCTACCAATGAGATTTTTCAAAGAATCAAGTGGATTAACACGTTCACGCCGGGTGTTGCGCCTGAAAGCAGGACGGAAAAGAGAAAATACAGGTAGAAGAACTATTTCAATATTAGATAATATTCGGGAGGAGTTAATCTATTCTCAACAATAACAATTCACTGTAAGGAGATTTAACACGGCAAAGAACCAATTCAATATAAAAATTGCATCCGTTAAAAACAATTGGTAGTTAAGGATTTTTATTATTCCCGGCAAAAACTAAAAAATGAAATTTATTTGTTACCAGTTTTTACTCCGGTGCGCCGCCCGATGAGACAATCTAGCGTGACCCACCGGTGGGTCACCCCGGCGTGAACGCGTTAATGAAGATATTTTCTTCCTTTCTCTTTTTTTTGGAAAGGAAAAGATTTATTATATTTACTTTTATATCTACGGATCCATCCGTTGTATTGATATCTCCCAGCAATGCTGATAGTAATGATGATTTACCCGATCCCACGGATCCAATAACAGCAACCAATTTGCCTTTAGGAATATGCAATTCGATATCATGTAAGGTGCACTCCTCTTCTCCTGGCCATTTGAATGACGCTTTCCTTATCGTCAAAATATCTCCTGTTGGATAGATTCTTATATTATCTACCACTTTAATTTTTTCTTGCAAGAGTTTTCACAAGGATTCCCATGGTCTGGAAAAATTTTCAAAATGGTAGCGAAAGTGATATATACCTAGATGTTTCAAGCTATCAATTAATGTTTAGTTTATAGGAAATATATATGGGTGCAGACAATAGCTCGTGGATAATTTCGCAATTCACAAATTAGGTAAAAATTTTCATTTTTAAGTTGTCTTGCAAAATCTTAGCTACCTGTCTCTTCCAGGACATGGGAACACTGTTTTACAACAAAATTAAAATCAAAGCACATTGTCACTAACCAGGGAATTTTAGCGGTGGTGAAGAATCATGCAAGATGAGCTGAATCTAACTTCGTTTGCAAAAACTTGAAAAATTGAATACTTTAGACACAGATGTAAACTGTGTTCGTGAAAAAGTAATCACAAATTATAAAATCACAAATTATTCATTAAACGCTTACATCTACTACCCTCTGCCATTTTAAATATTAAAAAAAAAATTTATTTAAATAACTACGTATCTCTTTGTACCGTAAGCATATGCCTTAAAAAATAAAAAGTAAAATGAACATTTTACTAAGCCTTTTAAAGCCAGTCATTTCATATCACAATAATATGAAAAAAATTATTACTTGTCAAAGGTCTTATATGAATTCCCATGAAAAAGTTTAAAAAAAAAACGATAGACGATTTACTTTAAACTATCTAACAAAGAAAATGTACTTAGCTGTAATTTTAATTTTATAGTATCAGCTACCCCCATCTTATAGAACTAAATATCATTAATTATATTATAAACTTAACGTCGTAGTAAATAGGATATCTCGTTTCATCCAAAAAATAAATGAGAAATGTCATAACTCTCTTACTACTAGTTACAATACATTTTAATATGAGGCTAGGACCCTTGCATAACAAAATGAGTGGTTGTTCATAAATATTTCATTTTAATGGGAATTTTATTAAATTTGCGACTATTTCGGTACATCATAAACTCATCAAACTTATCATTATATATAAAAAAATAGGCATCATACGTCTGAATGAAGAATAAAACAAAGAAAAATTAAGGAGATATGAAAAAAAAGGTGTGGGAGGGGGAATAATAAGTAAAAAAGTAACAAACAGTTTAAAAAAAAAAAAAAAAAAAAAAGAAAAAAANAAAAAAAAAAAAAAAAAAGGATTGAATTTTATTTAAAAAACCGGAAAAAAGAGATATATTTTTTCATCAGCCCAAACGATTATATCCGTAAAACATCTTATTGTTTTTCTTAACTTTCTTCGTGTTTTCTTGTATTTATATATATATATAACATAAAAAGCTTCAATT